AGCAGCAGCAGCAGCAGCAGCAGCAGCAGCAGCAGCGGCAGCATCGCCGAGAGGCCAGATGGGCAGCTGCAGCAGCGACCCTGAGCTCTTTCGGCTGCACCGCGCCGCACCGCACCGCACCGCACACACGTTTGCCTTGCATCGCTGCAGGCGGTTGGCAGCGCCATGAAAAAAGGGCTCGACGCGTCGCCTCGCTCGCCTGTCTGCTGCTCAACCGCCTCGGCTGCAGGGCGCGTAGCTGTCAAGCCTTCCGGGCCTTTTTGAAACACACACGGTCAGGGCGCTCGCTCTGCCTGTTCTGCCTTGCTCGCCTATGCGAAATCCCCCTTCCGCTCGGACTTCGCGTCGAAATGGCGAACTTTCGACGCACGCGCGAGGGCCACGTTTGGGTTGCTCTAACATTCTTTTCTTCGCAGGCTTAACAATCTCCCAAAAAGCGCGCGACCTCCACAGCCGACGAGGCACGCAAATAGAGAGGCTGTGACAGGGCCGAATGCATGCATTATTGGTCCACCCCCTTGGCTCGCTTGCAGCCCAGCCTCGCCCCGCACAGCAACGGACTCCTCCTTGATCGTCCCACCCACATCTCCACCATCACCACCGTACTGCTGCTGGTCACTGGCGTCCTTTAACTCGCTGCGACGCCCTGCAAGCCAGTCATGGCGCGCATCCGCCATCGCAAGGATGCCTGGGCCGTCTTTGCCTTTCTCATCGTCGTCCAGATCATCTGTCTTCGCGGCAGCCAACGCCTTCAGCACAGCCTAGCTCCGCAGTCGGTCTCACGACCCGCGCAGACATGGCTCAAGCGAGATGAGCCCCCATTGCTGCAGCCCTTGAAGCATACGACCACATCAACTCTGCACTCTCCAACGCCAACATCCCAACCTACTCCCGACCCGGATCATCCCACCACTCCCGCATGCCAGCCCATCCCCCTCGATCATTCCCCCAAACACATCTGCAACCATGTCATTCAGCACTGCTCCTCCTCCGGTCATTTCGACTATCTGCGCTTCTACTACTGCGCCGGCGTCGCACGTCACGACACTGATCACGACGAGCCCTCCCATCCATCGCCTCCCTCCACCCACCCCAGTCCACGCATCGGCATGTCGGCGCTTCGCTTCCTTCGCCTGCTCTGCATCCTCCTCTGGATGCTCTTCCTCTTCAGCTGGGTCGGCGTCGTCGCCAGCGACTTCTTCTGCCCCAACCTCAGCACCATCGCTTCGCGACTCGGCCTCAACGAGAGCACCGCCGGCGTCACCTTCCTCGCCTTTGGCAACGGTTCGCCCGACGTATTCTCCACCTTTGGCGCCATGAAGTCCGACTCGGGCTCGCTCGCCATCGGTGAACTCATCGGAGCCGCCTCGTTCATCGTCTCGGTCATCTCGGGCTCCATGATGCTCATCGCCCCCTTCAAGGTCAAGCCCTGGCCCTTCTGCCGCGACGTAGGCTTCTTCACCGTAGCCGTCGCCTTGACCTTAGCCTTCCTCTTCGATGGCAAACTCAGACGCATCGAGACCATCGCTCTCATCGCCCTCTACCTCCTCTACGCCACCACCGTCATCGTCGGCGCCTGGTGGCAGGAACGCACGCGCAGGCAAAAACGCAGACTCGCAGCCGCAAGGGAAGAGTTCGACTCCCAGCTCGACCACGCCTCCGTCCGCAGCCGTGCTAGCAGCCTCTCGGCCCAAAGCACGATACACGAACGTGACCGCAGTCGCCTTCTCGCCCCCCCTTCTCTCGACTCGTCACAACGCATGCCCAGCCCATCCGAGTACGACCCCGACTTTGACCCCTTCGAAAACTGGGCCAGCCAACGGGCCGCCCGCAGCGGCGCCTCCTCCCCGGATGCTTCCCGTCCAGCAAGTCGCGCGCCTTCCATCCACACCCCGGGATCAACCGCCTCGCGCTCAGTCACCAAGCCTTCGCTCAGCATCCGTCCCAACCTCGTCCCACGCCACTCGCTCCTATCGGCCATCGAGTTTCGCGACGTCGTTCAGAGCCTTCGCCGCGAAGCAAACGCAGATCGCTCCCAAGAGATCTTCCAGAGCTGGGACCCCGAGCGCTTCCTCGCCGCTCACCATCACCACCACCAGCACCAGCACCAGCACCAGCACCAGCACACCAATTCGCTCCTCACAAGGAGCACCTCGGGCGAAGCGCATCCCAGCAACGCTGCCTTCAACCAGAATCGCCACCGTCACAACCGCGTGCTCAGCCTAGGTCCCGGCGTGGGCTCCAGCGCCGGCCTCGCAAGGAGCGCCTCCACCGGCTCGGAACGTCGCCGTCTCACCTTCGGTGCCCACGACAGCGTCCAGCCCGCGTCCGCCCAAACAGACACAACGGCCACCACCTCGGTCGATGCCGCCAACGTTGAGGATCCGTGGAGGGAGCATCTGCCTGGAGACGCGTGCGAGCCGCTCATCTCGCCTGCGCTCCCGCTCGACGATGCCACGCAAGCACAACCTCACCACGACGACCTGCGCAAGTCATTACCCAAGCTGCAGATTCCACAGTGGGACACCAAGGCGGCGCGCAGCCAAGAGGCACGTCGCGTCCAAGCATCGCGTCAGCGCACCGATGCGACTAGCACGGGCACAGCAAGCAAGTACCGCGCCGATGCGCTGCCCAGCCAGAGGCGCATCCGCCCTGAGCGCTCGGCGGGCGGACTGGTGGCTTGGAAGGTGCGCGTCATCTTGAACGCGCTCTTTCCCTCGTTGCGCCACCTGCACTCCAAGTCGCTATTGGGCGCCTTTGTGAGCATTGCAACCTCGCCCGCCATTCTGCTGCTCAACCTCACGCTGCCGGTCGTCGACGACGACGCCGAACGAGCCGAGCGCGAGTGCGACACCGCTGAAGCCGACGGCATCGGTGCGGTGCGTCTCGAAGGCGACGAAGCCGACTTGCAGGCCGCAGCCGCCAACGAGGACGCCGAAGACTCGGTGACGTCGCCGTCTTCGCACACGGCAGCCTGGAGCGCCGAGGAGCGCGTTGAGGCCGAGGAAGACGCCGAACGCCAGGCGAATACGCAGCGCGACCGCGAGATCGCGTCTGCGTTGCGCCATCTGCCGTCGCTGGGCGGATCTCCGCTCTCGCTCGGAAGCGGACCGGAGAGCGGAAGCACCCTGCGATTCCCATCGGCGCAGTCGCCAATGCCAGTCGACTCGCAGACGCCATATGCTGGCAGCGCAGGCGGTTCGGACGCAGCCAGCTTTACGAGCTGCACAAGCAACGCGAGCTGCGAGGCCGAGGACCAGGAGATGAGACGGTCCATCCGTCGCTTTCTCATCCTGTGTCAGTGCGTGTGGGCGCCGACGTTTGTCACGTGGGCGATCGTCTCGTCGTCGGGCAGTCCGCGTCTGGGTCTGAAAGTAGGTATCGCTGCAGTGGCGGGCGCGATCATCGCGGGGTTAACCTTCATGGCGATGCGGCGCAAGGACGCGGGACATGCGCGCTACTCGGACCGGACGCTGTCGACGTTTGGCATGATCCGATGTTCGATGGGCTTTGTTGTTTCAGTGATGTGGATCATGTCGATCGTCGACGAGGTGGTGTCGATCCTGCAGACGGTCGGCATCATCGTGGGGCTGTCCGACGCCATCCTGGGCCTCACCGTGTTTGCGGTAGGCAACTCGCTGGGCGATCTGGTTGCCAATGTGACGATCGCGCGGCTAGGACATCCCGTGATGGCCATCAGCGCGTGCTTTGCCGGACCGATGCTCAACCTGCTGCTGGGCATCGGCATCTCGGGAACGTATCTGCTGTCCAGTTCCGGCCACAAGGGCAAATGGAGCCACGACGGTGCGCCGGGCATCTACCCGATCGACTTTAACCCGACGCTGCTCGTGTCTGGACTGGGGCTGCTCTTCATCCTGGTGGGCACGCTGATCGCGGTGCCGATGAACAACTTCCACCTCACGCGTCCGATCGGACTGGCCCTCATCGGCGCGTACGTGCTCATCATGACGCTCAACCTCTTGACCGAGGTTTTTTGGGCTCGAGGCCATTCTGTATCATAGAGCTCGCCATCTTCCCAATCGAATGCATTGGATTCGCCTCCCCCGGTCGACTTGGCTGAAGTTGGAGGAGTGTGGGGTATGGTGGAAGCGGCGGTATCGCACGAGAAAACTTGAATCTTGAAATGCTTAGGCAAGGCTCAGGGCGGATTTGTGCGCGCCGTCGTTGGTTGGCAGAGCAGCCCAGCGCAATTCAAGTTGAACGCGCGACCGATTCAAAATTGGAAGGCGGCGAGGCGAGTCGAGGCGGCGGGCGGATTAGAAATGATCGGAAGGTCCTTGGAAAGCGGCGAGAGAGAGAGAGAGAGAGAGGAAGGCGCTCACCTCCTCCATCGCCCGCCTGTCTCCACCTAACATCCGCGATACCACCATCACCCTTTCCCTACCGAGCCTCGGTGTGGTGTGCATTCTCTCTCTCTCGATCCTCAGACGACCGCGTGCTTTCCGACGCCTACAGCTAGCCTAGCCGTGTGTTTGTGGTCAACAGCACCCCAGCCGCAACCGTTGATTGCATCGGCGCACTCGAACTGCCCCACCCGCCACCCCTCACCTCCGACCTAATCTGCACACGCAGCTATCGACATCATCATGGCGCCTTCTCTCTTCCGCGCCGTCCGACCGGCTTCGCAGCTGTACCGATCCAGCGCACCCTCGTCGTCGCGTCTGCTCTCGACCACCGTGCGCCGCTCGCTCGCCACCGAGGCGGCCGACAAGGCGGTGCCCATCTCGCCCGCCACCTCCGCCTTCACCGTCGAGGAGCTGCACAGCCGCAGCGCACAGGAGATCCTCAGCGAGGGCGGCTCCAGAAAGGACCGCTCGCTCCGCCACTTTACCGTCAACTTTGGCCCCCAGCACCCCGCCGCCCACGGTGTGTTGCGTCTGATCCTCGAGCTCAACGGCGAGGAGATCCTGCGTACGGACGTGAGTGCAATTCTTCCAGGGAGCAGGAAGGCTGTTTACGATGACGTTCAACCACGCTGACGCTTTGAAATTATGCTGCTACAGCCCCACGTCGGTCTCTTGCACCGAGGCACGGAGAAGCTGATCGAGTACAAGACGTACACGCAGGCGCTGCCGTACTTTGACCGACTCGACTACGTTTCGATGATGACCAACGAGCTGTGCTACTCGCGCGCCGTGGAGAAGCTGCTCAACATCGAGGTGCCCGAGCGCGCCAAGTGGATCCGCACCATGTTTGGCGAGATCACGCGCATCCTCAACCACTGCATGGCCGTCCTCTCGCACGTCATGGACGTCGGTGGTCTGACGCCCTTCCTGTGGGCGTTCGAGGAGCGTGAGAAGCTCATGGAGTTCTACGAGCGCGTGTCGGGTGCGCGTCTGCACGCCGCCTACGTGCGTCCCGGTGGTGTGGCGTACGACCTGCCGCCCGGCCTGCTGGACGACATCTACAAGTGGGCGACGCAGTTCGGCTCGCGCGTTGACGAGATCGAGGAGGTGGTGACGGGCAACCGTATCTGGAAGGGCCGCACCATTGGCATCGGCAAGGTCACCGCACAGGAGGCGCTCGACTACGGCTTCTCCGGCGTCATGCTGCGTGGCTCGGGTATCCCCTGGGACATCCGCAAGGTGGCGCCGTACGACGCCTACGACCAGGTGGAGTTCGACGTGCCCGTGGGCAAGAACGGCGACTGCTACGACCGATACCTCTGCCGCGTCGAGGAGTTCCGCCAGTCGCTGCGCATCATCGAGCAGTGCCTCAACAAGATGCCCGCGGGCCAGATCAAGGTGGACGACCACAAGCTCGTGCCGCCGCCGCGTGCCACCATGAAGGAGAGCATGGAGTCGCTCATCCACCACTTTAAGCTCTTCTCCGAGGGCTACGCCGTGCCGCCCGGCGAGACGTACTCGGCCATCGAGGCTCCCAAGGGCGAGATGGGCGTCTACCTCGTCTCGGACGGCACCAACCGTCCGTACCGCTGCAAGATCCGCGCGCCCGGCTTCGCCCATCTCGCCGGCGCCGACTTTATGGCACGCCACCACTACATCCCCGACATGGTCGCCATCATCGGTACGCTCGACTTGGTGTTCGGTGAGGTCGACCGTTGATGCGCCTGTGGAAGCAAATAAACCCAGACTCGCTGCGTTCGTAGCTTGCAGCTAGCCCGTCTCTCTCTCGTTTGTATGTCGTCTCTAGAATGGCATTGCTTGCTTTTTTGACTGGCATGGGCGTTGTTCGATCCGTGCTGATTGCAGAGATGAAAATGAAGTTTGCGCCGCGCCTCCGTTGGACGGCGGGCGGAGATGCATCAGCGCGCAGAACACAGAATGCATTGAGAGCACGATGTCTGTTTGGTCTTGTGGATTGTAAATGTGTTCTTCGATCTTTGCTGCCTTCTTCCTTGGCGCATGAGCTTGCAACGAACCCTTTGGTGAGCTACAAAGAGCTGGGGGAGGAGTGATGGCTCGAGAAGGAATTTCCGGGTGGAGCTAGCAGTAGCGGAGGGGGTAAAAAAACGGGGCGGCGCAGGGGCGCGTGGCTTTTGCGCTGCGAAGCGAAGCGGAAAGAGTGACGAAAGCGAGTGTTGGAGTGCGAATTGCAAGCCGGGCTGCTTGCCATGCCGACACCACTCGAAGCGCTGCGCCACTTTGCGAGGTAGCAGAGCAACAGCATGCCCGACCGATGGCAGCGTCGTCGCAACGATGAACCTGCCCCCCGTGGCGCCGATGCAGACCGACGACAAGCCGACTTTCCCAACAAGGCAAGGCGCATCGACGACAGCAGTAGCCGCAGGGGAAGTGAGCGAGACGCTCACCGTCAACCTGCTGCGCCGTCGATAACGATTCGCGGTGTCGCAGCAAAGCAAGCCAGCCCGGATTTGCTGGATCGTCTTGCTCGCCGCACCGACGACGACGCGCCTGCCAAACGACCTGCAGGGGAGTCTGCACGCCCACAAGCAGAGGCTCGACGCGGAGGTGCAAAGCTCGCTCCTCGCGGCCAGTATGACGACACAGGCAGGAGGATGGACGCACCAACATCCAGCCATCGTGGCGATGCACACACCTCGCCGCGTCGGAGAGATGCAGATGGACGCCGGCATCGAGACCGTTCCCCTTCACCAGCGGCGCAGCGCCAACGCCGTCGAGACGACGACGAGCGGCACGACCGTCGGCGGGAAGCAAGGGGCTCGCATTCCACACGCCGTCGCAGCCCGAGCCCTGAGCATGCCAGCACTTCCGCACCGCGCTGGGATCGGGATCGATATGGTAGCTACGATCGACACCGCTCTCCACCCTCTCCACCCGACCGATACGCGTCGCAGTCTCGTCGTACTGCTCCAGCGCCGCGCGGGGGCGAAGCCGAATCGAGCCGCCGACGTCGCACACCTTCACCCACACGGTCGGACACGTCGAGCCGCTCGCGGCGTCGGGAGCGCGAACCGGAGCCGGTGCGCAAACCAGCCCGTGATCGACCTGCACGCTGGAAGCTGGATAGCCGCGAAGAGGAGCGGGCCACCGAGCGGAGAGATGCAGGTCGAGAGCGCAGGCGGTCACCCGAGCCACGTCGACCCAGGACACCACCGCGCATCGGTCGCGACGACGAGGCGGACGACCGCGGACACGTGCTGTCGCGCAAGTCCGCACCCAGCCGTGCGGCGGAGCAGGAGCAGAACGGCGCGCGCAGAGAGGCGGAGGCGGAGCTGCGCAGTGTGCGTGGCAGCGGGTGGCAGACCGTACGTCCTGGCTCGCGCAACGGCAAAAGCAGTCGTGACGATGATCGCTCTGCACCGACCGCGCCCGTGGAAGCAGTGCGGGCCGAGGCAGGGGAGGCGTACGAGAGCATCCAACAGGTGGGCGAGGGGACGTACGGGCAGGTGTTCAAAGCGCGCTCCGAACGCACGGGCGCTGTGGTGGCGCTGAAAAAGATCCGGATGGATAGCGAAAAGGACGGGTTTCCCGTGACGGCGATGCGCGAGATCAAGCTGCTGCAGGCGCTGCGGCACGAGAATGTGGTGCGGCTGCACGAGATGATGGTGACGCGCGGCTCGGTGTATATGGTGTTCGAGTACATGGAGCACGATCTCAACGGCATCCTTGCTCACCCTCAAGTGCAGTTCACGCCTGCGCATCTCAAGTCGCTTGCTACTCAGCTGCTATCGGGCCTGGCGTATCTGCATCGCAAGGCGGTACTTCATCGCGACCTGAAGGGGTCCAATATCCTGCTCAACAACCAGGGCCGTCTCAAGCTCGCCGATTTCGGGCTCGCCAGGATGTACGCCAAGCGGCGGCAGGGCGACTACACCAACCGCGTCGTCACACTGTGGTACCGTCCACCGGAGCTTCTGTTCGGCGCGACCCAGTACGGATCCGAGGTGGACATGTGGGGTGCCGGGTGCATCTTCCTCGAGCTGTTTGTCAAGAAGCCTGTCTTTCAGGGCGAGAGCGAGCTGGGTCAGATCCACTCGATCACCGACGTGCTCGGTCCCGTCACGGTCGAAGCGTGGCGCGACGCGGACAAGCTGGCGTGGTACGAGATGGTGAAGCCTCCCGCGCGCGATGGCGAGACCGAAGCAAGGGACTACGTCAAGGCGGCTTTTGGCAAGTACATGCCCGATGCAGCACTCGAAGTGGCCAGGGGTCTGCTCACGTACGATCCGCAGCAGCGGTGGTCGGCACAACAGGCATTGCAGGCGGCTTACTTTAGCGAAGAACCCCACGCCGAGCCGCCAGCGGGGCTGCTGTCGGCGCTCGAGGGAGAGTGGCACGAATACGAGTCGCGCCGCGCCAAGAAGAAGGCGTCTGCGCAGCCGCCACCGGAGGCCATCGCTGGCCCAGAGCGGACGGGCGCGGCAACTACAGCGCAAAGCTCTCATCCTGTAGCATAAGAGCACACGAGCATCTGCAATTCAGCTTCTCGATTGCCATTGCACATTGTGAGGGAGGATGTGGGGAGCAAGCATGGCAGTGTGGAGGGCGGGGCGAATTTTCGAGGAAAAGCTGTTAGAAAGAAGGATTGTGACAGCTGCAAACGGGAGCGCGGGCTCGATCGGCTGGGCTAAGCGGTGCGGATTTAGGGGAGCAGCAGCGCAACGACGTCGCTGTACATGCGCCGCCTCTCGATCGAGGCTGACCCGCCATCCAAAATCCAAGCCAAATCCAAAATCCAAATTGGGCAAATTGAGCAACGGCGCGCGCGCGCGAGAGTCGAGACTGGTCACCCGCCGCGCTGCACTCCCAATGCGGCTTCAAAATGGCGTTGGGGAAAGGACCCCTTTTTGGCTCTCTGGCTCAGCTGACCCTGGCAGGGATGGGATCGTCGCCGGCTGCCCTCCACCCTTTTCTCGAGGCGAGGCGCAGCGTACGCGGCCAGTTGGAGAGGACTGCATGCAGCCGCTCACTCACACCGCCCAGCTGCCGCTCGCTCGCCAAGCCGAGAGAGAGAGAACCCTGCCGCATCGAATCAGCCCAACGGCTGCTCCACACCCCGGCCGCAACTCAGCACAGCTCAGCGCTATCTCTCTCGCGGTCCATCCGCACTGGCCCGCTGCTCATCCTCTGTGGCTGGCTGCGTATAATCGGCTGAGCGCCGCTTCCCCCTCTCCTCCCTCCTCCACCATCCTCCTCAACGCCCACTCATCTCTCCCCTCTCTCCAATTTAGGAGTGGCACAATGAAGCTCAATCTCTCGCTCACGTTTGTCGCCGCACTCGCCACCGCCTTTGCCGGCGTCGAGGCGGGCGTGCACAAGGCCAAGCTGCAGAAGGTGACGCCCTCGCGCGAGCTCACCCTCGAGGGCCTCGCCGCCCAGGCCGAGGTGCTCCAGCTCAAGTACGGCGGCGGTGCCTCCAAGAAGCAGGCGCCCTTCGCCGCCAACCCGGAGCACGACTTTAGCATCCAGCCCATCGCGCCCAAGGACTCGGCCTCGGCGTGGTATGCCGAAGCCAAGAAGGGCCACGGCGTGCCCCTCACCGACTTCCTCAACGCCCAGTACTTTTGCGACATCTCGCTCGGCACCCCCGCCCAGGAGTTCAAGGTGATCCTCGACACCGGCTCCTCCAACCTCTGGGTGCCCTCCACCAAGTGCTCCTCCATCGCCTGCTTCCTCCACAAGAAGTACGACAGCTCCGCCTCGTCCAGCTACAAGAAGAACGGCACCGAGTTCAAGATCCAGTACGGCTCCGGTTCCATGGAGGGCATCGTCTCGAACGACGTGCTCAAGATCGGCGACCTCACCATCAAGGGTCAGGACTTCGCCGAGGCCACCAGCGAGCCTGGCCTGGCGTTCGCCTTTGGCAAGTTTGACGGCATCCTGGGCCTGGCGTACGACACGATCTCGGTCAACGGCATCGTACCGCCCATGTACCAGATGATCGACCAGGGCCTGCTTGATGCGCCCCAGGTGTCGTTCTACCTCGGCTCCTCGGAGGCCGACGGCGGCGAGGCGGTGTTTGGCGGCATCGACGACTCGCACTACACGGGCAAGATCCACTGGGCGCCCGTCAAGCGCAAGGGCTACTGGGAGGTGGCGCTGGACAAGCTCGCGCTCGGAGATGAGGAGCTCGAGCTCGACAACGGCTCGGCCGCCATCGACACGGGCACCTCGCTCATCGCCATGGCCACCGACACCGCCGAGATCCTCAACGCCGAGATCGGCGCCACCAAGTCGTGGAACGGCCAGTACTCGGTGGACTGCGAAAAGGTCAAGGACCTGCCGCCGCTCACGTTCTACATTGACGGCAAGCCGTTCAAGCTCGAGGGCAAGGACTATGTGCTCGAGGTGCAGGGCTCGTGCATCTCGAGCTTCTCGGGCATCAACTTGCCCGGCCCGCTCGCCGATATGCTGATTGTCGGCGACGTCTTCCTCAGGAAGTACTACTCGGTGTATGATCTCGGCAGGAACGCTGTTGGTCTCGCCGAGGCCAAGTGAGAATCACCCCCCTCTGCTTCCCTTTTTCCCTTGAGCTCTGACTCTGTCAAGGCGATGCCGGCGCGTGTCCTTGGGTCATGGCGTGCGGCAGCGCTCGAACCATCGCATACATGCACATGCTAAGCAATACGAATGATTGGTCTTTTGATTCTAAGCATGATCGCATCCGAACATGCGCTGGGCAATGCAGATGTGGGATCGCTGCTTGATCTGAACAATGTCGATGCAGCTGCTGGGGAGAATGTGTGGCTGGGTACTGCGAAGGTGGGGTTCTGCAATCGAATCGGTCTGCACAAGCTGTGTCCGCCCCAAGGCGTGCGTGGAACGTGGCTCAAGCTGGTGTGGGCGGATCTGTCGCTCAGTAAACGGAAAACCGCTTTGACACGGCGTGCTTTGTCGTCTGATGCCCTGGCCAGAGGTCGTGGGGCAACAGCTTACGCCAGCACCGCCAGGACCGCCACCGCAGCGATTCGCACTGTGTGGTCTTGTGCATCGTACCTATTCTTTGCATCGACTTGTTCGGTGGCCACCACATCGAAACACTTCGGACCACATGGGGAAAGATTGAGTCATGTGTGTGTGATACAGAGGTAGAGGCTCAGGCTTGAACAGAGGCTGGTGCAGGATCCCGACGAGTGTCCAGACCGGTGTCGAGTGGAGCTCCCACGCGTTGATCTGATCTCTCGTCAGCGACGGTGGCAAGGACAGCGCCTCAAGTCCTGCCCACTTTTGGAGACCATCGGCACGCAGGCGCAAGCATTCCAAACCCGCTAAACACTCCATGAAACCACTTGGCGGCTGTCCGACAGGTTCTCACTTGTCCCGTTAGGAACGCCAATCAAGCTGCTGCGACGGATCGGTGACTCGGCATGCGAAGGTCTGTCTCACGCTGCGGACAGGTCGTCTCTCGAAAGAGGTTTGGTGAGGCTAAGCGATAGCTCGTACGCCAGAGTTTGGTGTTGAATAGCGAGCTGGGTCCAGATAGCTACTCGTGGTGACGCTATAAACAACATGCCGTCCCGGCGCGTGGCGGCGTGGCAGTGAGCTTTGGCATTGCTGAGCCTGTGTGCCGCACTCTGAAAAGCGGGAGGCAGGGGTTCAAGGAGGTTCCGATGCGCGGTGTTGGGCGTCTGGCCGCGTGGGCAAAGTGGAGCAATTTACGCGTCTGGGCGGCAGCCCGACTCGGACGCGTTTCCGCGCACGTCGAGCCAAAAAAAGCACAACCCCAACACTTTCTTCCACCACCATCCCCCCCACCACGACTCGCAGCAATGTTGGGCGATGCGGCGCTCAAGCTCGTGACCGAATCCAAGGCGTGTCTAAACCTGGACACCGTCAAACCATACAAGTAAGTCTTCGTTCCCCCACCCTGCCTTTTGGACACATGCTGACGATGTGGAATAGTGATGAGCTGGTGCGGATGTTGGTGTTGGAAACCAAGCAGCTGCACACACACATGCAGTCGCTGCTCTCTCTGCTCGAGACATCAACCGCTGTCGAAGTGGCGGGCTTGCAGTCGCAGCTGCTGATGCTGCATCTGGTGGTGCAGACCAACAAACGCGCGCTGCTGATCTACCACAATGTGCGCACGGATCTGCTCACCTCGGCACTCAACAACGCACACTCGCTACCGACACTCCTAGCAAGGTCACCGGCGATGAAGGCCGGATTGGCCCCACACGAGATCGAGTACCTCAAACACTACGCTGGGCTTATCCAGACCGTCAAGGTCGACTACATGCACTCGGCACCCAGTCTTCAGTTGGATATCATGGATCAACATCCCGATGAAAGACCGCCGACGAATTTGCTCGTGACCATCAAGGTGCTCAAGCCGTTGAACGATGTGTGGCTGAGCCATGCACAGTCGGCGCCCAGCTCGTTTCAGAAGGATCAGACGCTCACCATCAGCCATGCGGACGTAAGACCGCTCATCAATAGAGGATGGGTGGCGCTCGTCGATAGCGACCCGTAGATGGAGCGGCGCAGGCAATACCAGCAACCAAGTCGGAATCCGGGCGCTGCATCCTCGCGGGCCTTGCAATGGAGCGCGCGGCAGGGCAGCGCGGTGCACTCGAGCCACGGCTCAGGCTTGGCTCTCTGCATCATCGCTCGGATCCGGCGCAATTCGCACCAGAAGTGGCGGCGCGCGGCTTGGCACGGCGCCTCGAATGGCTCTCGTAGGACACAGAATGCATCCAACCAAGTCTGCATCAAGCGCGCTCACGGTTAGCGCCGTCAATCGGACCCTCCAGCAAGGCGCGCGCCGCACTCCAACGCACGTACTGCTTCGATCTTTCCAGACCCGCCAGGCATCCTCGCGACAAGCTCGAGCTCACACGGTCGACATCCATGACAGCGATTCGCAAGCTTTGCGTCCAAACCAACAGCCGCCGTCGGCGGGGTCCCATTCTCCAAGCCAGGCGGTCTGTGCTGCAGACACTCGCCGCGAGCAGACAAGACGCCATGCGACGCTCTCGCAACACACATGGCACGGCGCCGACCATGTGTGCCTTCAGCCACCGAGGCGCGCACCAGGCCGCGAGGCGGTGTCGCCCACCGAGGGCGAGAGCCGGTAGACGTCGAATCGTAAGACGCCGTCGACCATTGGCTCCATCCCAGCCAGGCGGTCTTGCACTGCAGACGACCGGTATCACAAGCAACAGTCGCGCGCCACGCTTCTTCGTAAGACATACAAATTTGCATCATTAAAATAAACAGTCAACTACGCCGCTTCGCCGTCTGCGTCGAGGTCGCTCGATTCGTGCGAGGCGTCCTCTGCGGGGGCCGGGCCGGTACGCGCCATGTTGGGACGGTAGGTGTTGGATCGTGCGCGCCCGCCTGCGGCCTCGTTGTCGGATGCACCGGCGGCGTCGTTGTCGCGGTCGAACGATGTGCGCTGCGTGGGGGTTTGGCCGCAGAAGGCGTCCTCGTCAAACGCTGCCAGTCGCCCAGCCCTCAGTGCGGTGGGCTCGCTGTCGCGGCGCAGATCATGCTGGGAGGTCTCGCTCCTCTCGGCAGGCGCGGCGTAATCGTGCGAGCCAGGGTGGCTGGAGAACGGTGCGAGGGCGTCGAGTGCGAACGGCGCGTCCAGGGCGGGTGCAGGCGCAGGCGCACTCTGGCCGGCCATGCACGACTCGCCCACGTACGAAGGTCCGGCGTGCATGGGCGGCAGACCGTACGCCATGCGGTTGTCCCAATCGAACGACGTGCGCTGGCCACCCTCCATGTTGCCATCACCCATGGCGATGGCGGGAGGTGCCAGACCCGCGTACGAGCCCGTGTCGATACGAAGCGTACCCAGATCCACCGAGCTGCCCAGCCCCGAACGCGGGCTTGCCTCGATCGACGACGACACGCCGTACGGGCTGTAGCCGAGCAGCTGTCGACCCGTGCTGTCGAGCGATGCCTCGGATAGGTTGGTCGACACGCTGGCGGGGCTGTCGAACTCCCATGCCTCGGCGCCTGCGCGCGGCGCGCGGAAATGCTGCCACGCCGCCGTCTTGGGCAGCGGCGACGCCACCCCACCCATCCCAGCAGCATGCATCGGCATCGGAACCACATTGCCGTATGCGTCCGTACCGCCAAATGCCGCAGAGCCGTCGATCGGAGGCGTCAAAGGGTCCATCGCGCGCATCCCCAGCGGCTGGATCAGCCCAAAGTTGTCCGCCGTCGAGCCCGAGCCTGTGGGGATATCGCCTGCAGCGCGGCGTTCGGCGTCGCGGAACATGATTCGACGCTCCAGCACCTCGTTGCACCGAGCTAGCGCCTGCACTGCGCTGCGCAGCTCCTCGTACGGCCCGTTGAGGATGTGACGGCTGACCGTCATCGCCTGGTGGTCCTCCGTGAAGTCCTCGCATTGACGCCAGCTCACCTTGGGCTCCTCGCCCATGCCGCCCTTGGCTGGTGCGGAGCGGAAGACCTCCATAAAGAAGGTTGGCGGCCGTTCGAGGTCGATCACGAACCGGCCCAGCGGCACGCGCACGCCCTCGGCACGCTCGGCGATCGACGGGCTCAGCGGCCCGTCAAAGTGCGCGCTGCGAATCGACGTCCAGGGCACCTCGAGCTTGAATCCGATCGATTCGCTCGTCAAGTACCAAGTCAGCGATTGCAGCCGGCGCGAAAAGAAGCAAATCAGCGGCGACACGCGGCGCCACGTGCCGATGCACAACGCCGATGTGGGGATGGCGGTGACCGACGGCGTGGGATCGCCAGCATCGCGCGATGAGCGGCTCGACATGCCGCTGCCACCGCCACGGTAGGCCGACTTGTCGTCCGTGCGCAGGCTGTAGCTCTTCTTGCGGCCGCTGTCCGAGCCGGCATCGCCGCGCCGTTCGATCGTCTTGACCTTGGCACGTCGGTTCTGGAACCACACCTGGACGCTGCGCTCGGGCATGCGCAGCTTGCGCGACAGCTCGAGCCGGATGCGACCCGTGGGGTTGCGGTTCTTCTCGAAGAACGCCTCGAGGCTGCGCAGCTGCTCGGGCGTACACTTGTTGCGCTTCTTGCGTCCGCGCGGTCGAAACGCCGCAGACAGCTTCTTCTTCTCGGGAGGCAAATCCGAGTCGGTGCTGTCCTCGTAGGAGTCGTTGTCCGCGCTCGAAGCCGCCTGGAAGGGGAGATTCTCGATCAGCGCCAGCCCGTCCAGCGCGTCCGAAGGCCGCCCCTCACCCGAGGTATGCTCGGCCAGCTCCAGATGGCCGTCGAGGCCGATCGCCAGGCCCGAGTCGTCCTTGAGCCCGAGCGAGTTGGAAGCACCACCGTAGCCGTAATCCAGATCAAACGCAGCATGATTTGAAACGGGCTGCGAATAGTGAAGATGTTGCTGAGCGGGAGCGGGATCCCAAAATTGTTGTTGCTGCTGTTGAGAATGGTATTGCTGCTGCTGCTGCTGCTGCTGCTGCTGCT